CACACACTCACTGAAATGGCAGCTCAGGTGCCTTATAATCTTAGGACTTTCCAGCCCCTCTTGGGATCTCTCTTCTCTGTCTTTAATCTCACAAAGCTCTCAGTTTGATCTCAGCTCAGAAAAAAAGAACTCTGATTGGTTTTGTTTTAGATTATTTTATTATATTTCAGATGCTTTATTTTGCAAGAGCAAATGTATTTGCATTTATATAGCTCATTTCTAATCTCACTGACCACTTAAACCACTTTTAACTACAATTCAGACTTTAACTATACATTAATACAGCACTACATTCTGTCCAATTCAAGGACTTTATTTACCTCATACTCATAGAATCACCAATTAGCCTAACATGCATTTCTTTACTTGGGGGAGAACATGCAAAGTTTAAACAGGCTCTGCCTAGATTTGAACCAGGAACTTTCTTAGTATGAGTTGACAGCTCGTGCACCAACATGACTGCCCTATTTCAGGTTTCATATCTGTTTCAGGGGACCTTCTGACTACTGTAGCACATCTGTTGCCTTTGTGCACTATCTATGATCACTTCTATGTTTACTATTTAACTCTTTTGAGGTTCCCCCATGAATGCTCAAAGACCAACAGGTCTCAGTGACTGCAGGAACTTGGGCAAATGTGGTGGGAAGACTGAAAAATTGTGTGACACCTCAAATTTTGTCATCACTTTCCCATAAAAAAAACACAGACGTGTGCCACGTCAAAGTCTCAAGATTCTTTAAAACCACCATTTTCTTGAAATCCGTCTCAGTTTACAATATATAGGTCAGTTTCGACCCAGGTCAGCCAGCCCCTCCACAACAGTGTCAAACTTTCAAATAGTTTTTGTATATTTTGGGTCACTTTGGGAAAAGTCACCAAATTTAAAACTAAAAGGATGACATTCAAGGTATTTTTAATCCTGCTAAATGTCAGGACAGGTCCAATTTGACCCAAACAATATGTAAAGGTTAACAATACCCTCAATTAACTGGTGGATGTCAGATCTGCTAACAATGTACATTGTTTAGCAACGACTCATTATTCCCCTCAACCCATCCTCACTCCTCTGCCAGCAACTGCATCTTTATCACAGGGTTGAGTAATGTCACTCCTGCTTTGCTCCCTGCACTAATTATCAGATCTCTAATCATCAGTTTATCACACTTCCTTAAATGAGCAGAAACAAGGCCGGTATTGAGGCCCATCTTATTGACCGTATTGACTGCGTGTAAAAGAGAAGGGTGGTGGTGGTGGTGGTCTGGGGTGGGAAAAAATTTTGAAGTGAAAATTGATTTTTAAGAACATGCTCATCAATCCATAACTGGAGTTCAAATAGTAGAGCTATTATGTTAACCAGCTGAGCTTTCTTTTAATGGTGTTTTGTTTTGTTTTGTTGGAAAAACTGCTTCCAAAAGAACCAAACGAGTCAAGTGCACATTTTTCAATTATTATCATTTCCCCCCTTCATAGTGGCAATTCATATGATTTTCCTTTTATTTGGTTGCGGCTACATAGTCACTTTACTACAGGTGGGAATGAAAGGAAAAGGCTGAATGAAAGAATGGCACAACACAAAATATGCAAATGATTCCACACAGATTCGTCGCATGACACAATTGGGCAATTAACAACTAATCACGCTCTGTGTTCAGCTGACTGGTGTGTCAGTAGAGACAGTGCATTTAGAACTACGGCAGACACCAGAAAATAGAGTCAGAAACAGAGATGGGAAAGTACACGTTTACAGACCTTGATACTTGTGCATTAGTGCCATATGCAAAGAAAAACAGAGGAGCAACTCTACCTCAGAAAATGTCAGTGGCGTGATTAAACTGCAAGCAAGACTAGTCAATAAATACTTCAAATACAGAGAAATTTTTTTATACCGAGCTTTAAGTGGAAAAACTCAATTTTAAGACGAATGCACACTTTAGACGTCAGCATTGTTCTGCAGAGATGCAAAGAGAAGGTGATATGGGGAGATGAGTCATCCATCACCAACTTCTTAGCGTGTGGGTGAATGCATGTCATGCACCAAGAGAATGCCATGGACATAAAGGCTTGACCCCAGCAGCAAGAGGATCCAGTGGCTCTGTGATGGTATGGGAGGAATTTTGCTGGCATCAGGAAGTGTCACTGCAAACCAATGCAAAGCTGTACCGAGTAGCCACCTTTATTCTGTGACAAAACATTTCTTCCCTCATGGGAGTAGCCTATTTGAGGATGACAGTACCCCCTTCCCTATGGCAAAAGGGTTCACTGAATGGTTTGAGTCACTGGCCGAAGCTGTGGGAGCTTTTGAACCAACCGCGCTTCTCATAACCATCATTGAAACTGTCCAAATCTCTTTGGATGAATTGAGTTCAATCTCTCAGGTCGAGTGCAGAGTCAGTACAGACGTGCATGCAAACTGTAGTGATGTCAACACCAAACTGAGACGCTGTATGTATGTTTTTCTTTTAATTTGTCGCCCCCTTTTTTAACAACTGGCCTGGATTTTTATGTTTGGGATTTGATGTCCACTGAGCTTGAAACACACCACAAACTTGTGTTAATCCAGGAAAGGGCTCTAGTCGTCTGACTTCTGTGAAATAAATGAGGTAGTAGTTTCAGTTTAATATTCTGTTTCATCTCCCTCTTTTTTTATATACCTTAGTGAGGTTCTTCTGCCTTT